CCGCCCTCCCCGCGCGGACATGGCCGGCCGCGTCCTCCGCCTGCTAGCCCTCCTGCTCGTGCTTCCAAGCGGCTGTCTGGGTTACAGAAGCCCACTGTCGGTCTTTAAGAGGTGGGTGTCTTCTGGGGGGTGTTTTGTGTTTTAACAGAGGCCGTGTTGTTTGGGTGTTTTCGGTGCCTGCTGCTTGGAAATGCCACCACTTTTCCGAACCTTCTGGTTGGAGAAACGCACACGGCTGATTTACTTTGCCGACACGACCTGGCTTGCGGCGCGGTAACTTCTGGTGAAGCGCCCCTCATGGCACAAGCCCCACGGTGCTGTAGCCGGGCTGCCCTGGCTTTGAAAACTCCTGCTAGAAGTTGTGATTTCCATTACGAAGCGCTCCCTCTCGGGGAGATATTTCAGCACGGCAACCGAGTCGTCTGGGCTGGAATGCTCCCTTGTTTATAACAGCTCGAAGGACAGATCCGTGGTGGTGCGAACCCCACCAGTCTGTACTAGCTCACAAGAAAACACTGCGCTGTGTACACACGCCTCCTCATAGTTACCCTATTAAATATGTATGCCCTTGTACATTTGTGATTCACATCGCAGTCTTTTTTCCCTTCTGAATTCAGACAACTCTGCCTGGCAAGATTCTTGTTGTTGTTTTTCGCTGTAGTGATACACTCCCACAACAGTGCCAAGATTTTTACCGGGAGGGTGAATTTCTGATTTGTTAACACTAGGCTATCATTTTCTAGTAATTCACATATTTTAACAAGTTTTTATCAAATTGAGGTTTAAAGTGCCTTGCTTGCTGTTTGGATTCTGTTGACCAATTCAGTACACAATGTTCTTGGACAATAAAATGCAGTTCTGAGTATATCTTAAAGTAATGTATGATCAACACATCTTTAGGGTTTTGATCCAGTCTCAACCAGTAAGTAATCCTTAGTCTTAAAATCATAGAATTCTTTCATTGCCCTTCTTATGTAAAGACTCTGTTATGCCCAAGGATATTGAAATTGAGATCGTCTTCCTTTTTAAGGTTTAAAGAAACTACCAGATCATTCCCCAATGAATGTCTTGGTGCCTCCAGACCAGTAATTCCAATTGATTCGTCAGATTTTGCCATGGATATTCGCATGCCTGGGGTTACCCCTAAACAGGTGAGAGACCGTCTATATTTCATTCTTCACTTGTTGATGCATATATTTTATAATTAAATCAAGGAAATTGCATTTATAGTAGTGGTAACTTTTTAAAAGGAGGTGTTTGGTTTTAAGACTCGGGTAGGGTTAATATAATTGGCCAGTCTAAAGAGGAGGTAAATAATTTCTCTTAAATGTAGTTGTTGTTTTTAATAGAACCTCAGGAAAGGTACTTTTTGAGATTCTCTTTGGAGTGATTTTTTGTAATAAGTTGTTTAAATATGTGTTAAAATATGAAAAGTTTTTCTAATAAAGGAAAATTAGATTGAGCAGCTGCAGCTGAGATTCATTACCCTTGTATGACAGCTAAATTTAGGAAGTAAAAATAAGTGGTTTCCTGCCAAGAACTTGGAAAAAATTCCACACTCTTAAAAGTTAAGGAGACTGTTCATACAGGTGGTTGATTGTGAGTTTTCTGTCGCGTGACTGGCTTGTTGTAAGACATCTATTCTGAAGCAGTAACAGCAGACCTCATACGAATGAGCCTCGAGAGTATAGAGTAGAACTGGAAAAGAACTGGAAAACAGCGTGGGCTGTTCTTCTAACTTAGGCACAGAGAGGCTCAGACCCTTCTTGTGTGCAAGGTGTTTCATTAAGCATAAAAAGGGCAGAATCAATTATGTTTTGCAGCCATGCAGTGCAGGGATTTATGTGTCATTAAAAGATAGTCTCCTTTTGAAGAGCTACAGAGACAGGGAAAGACCTGGATGGTGTAGAGCTGCAGTGGCTGATGACTCATTGTTGCAGATAACATTTTTTTTTTAAGTACTGAGAAAAATAAAAGTATGCTAGTAAGGAGAATTTCTTTTAAAGTAACATCTTAAGGTCTAGAAAGTACACCTATATTGGGGTGGGAGAGTGGGGACAAAAAATTAGTATCCAGTTACTTGAGGATAGTGTGATTTAATTATCTGCCACTAGAAATAAGTACC